TTTCAGTTACACCACAGCGTACCATCTGATGTTGATCACTCTGTTGAAATCACTGATCATGGGGGCTGACAAACCAGAATCCAGGACACATTCCGGCTTCATCTTGCTCATGCTAGTAAATACCATATTTTACATCACAGCCATCCAAAGGTTAACAATGATACGACCATATATATTTCTTAGTAACAATAAAACTTGCACCTAGGCAGAGTATCCAGAGTCTAATGATCTTCACCCTCAATGTTTATGTTGGTCTTCTTGTAACTTGAGAACTAATGTGAGATGAGAGGCAACATTCGGCAGGAGGATGAAGTCTAGAAATTTCTGCATTACTCTCCTAGGCCCCGATTTCCCGAAAAAACGTAAATCTGAGTTTTGACTTAAGTTAGAGTTTCACTCAAATTTGAGAAAATGCAGGAAAATGTATTTCCCAGAATGAACTGAAGTCGATGTGAAACTCATACACAGAAGACAATTTGAGTTTCGTGGATAGACTCCTTAAGTTTTTTTGGCTTTTTTATTTCAAAAATGCAGTTGAGTTAAAAATTCAGCTGTTTCAAATGCTCAAACTCAGTTTGAAATTTAAGTACAAACTTAAGTTTGTTTCTGGAAATCGGGGCCAGGCTGATGACCACCTGTATACCAGCAGTACTTTCCAGATCTTTCTGTCTAAATCATGTACAACTCTAAAAATTGCACACCAATGCGCATAACTGAATCTACAGGTGCAATACATTACAACTGAAACATTATCATACAATGAATAACAATGTCAACGTGTTCGCTGGAACATTGCGTCGTTTCTGATTGCATATTGTGGATGGCCGTACATGTGTCTGGGGACGAAGGAACACAGCTATGGTTCCCCCCACTATCCAGGAGATGGTTCCCCTTGGAGGACGGTATGGGGATGTACTTCTCTGGGTTGCAAGATGGACCTCATTACTATTCGTGGTAACCTCAATAGGTCTTGGTATCAACGGTATCTCTAGGAGATCCTTGAGAGGGTTGTTGTCCCACATTTTGATAACCATCCTATAGCCACAAGACCCACGTTTATCTATGGCAATGCCAGGCCTCACAGAGCAACGTGCTGTCACCCAGGTCTTGCAACAGAATGCTGTTGAGAACGTCCCATGAGTCTAAATCTCAATCCCATTGAGCATCTGTCATTTTAGGCCGTCGTGTTCGACAGAAAGACCCACATGTCATGGATGTCAATGAATTACGGGGAAAATTCTATGGATATACAACTTCTTTATTATTATTATGAGCGACATATCGGTGTAGCTTATCAAGCAAACGATGGTGTTACTAGCTACACCGAAACGTCGCTCATATCAAGAGTAAAGAAGTTGTATGCCCACAGAACTCTCAATATTGTTCATCGCATCTTCAAAACACCACTCAGAGATGTTCCCAATGAATTGACTGCTGCTTTGCATGAGGAATGGAACGGTATTCCTCGGAATCAGATCAGGAGGCTGATCCAAGGATTGACCCGAGGCCTCTGGAAACAGTTGTTGTGATCTGGGAAGTCTGTATTTGAATAGAAATCTCGACACATTTTGTGCACCTGTTCATTGAAGTTGCTCAGTCTGAGAAAATACGGGTGTTGTTGAATTAATTCCCATATGTATACATAGCAGATTCTGTGATAAAACTCTCAAGGTGTGGCGAGTACCAGTGTTGGAAACTGCTGCAAAGTTCACAATTCGATGGACTGTTCCAAGCATTTCAGTCCTGAACAGGTCCATATGGAAGCATCCATTATATTCACACAGCAACGATCCGTTTATACGAGGTTACCATTTCCTAAACAGCACATATTGCCCTGGAAGCATCCAGGTTCAGATTTACAGCAAATGGACGTAAGGCAGAAAGAACTCTCGACGGTTTGGGGGTTGTGGGTGGTGGTGGCGGTGTCTCGTCACGCCTAAACCTGAGTTCGATTCCCCCGATTAAAGGAAGCTCTGATTGGTCAGATGTAAGGTCGTTCTGGCGTAACGTGTAATGTCCTCAGGTGTGTGTCTACGTTGGCGGTTTATATTGGACTTCTTACCCTTTAACACAGTAAGATGGGACTCAAAAATCAAGCGCGATCAATTTGCGGTCGTCCGAACCAACCCGTGGAGGTCCGGGTTAGAACTGCTCTTCAGTAACATATGCTTGTCGTAAGAGGCGACTAACGGGATCGGGTTGTCAGGCTCGCTGACTTGGTTGACACATGTCATCGGTTCCCAGTAGCGCAGATCAATCCTCATGCTGTTGATCACTGGCTTGTCTGGTCCAGACCGCCCCAATATAACTGGAATATTGCTGAGTGCGGCGTAAAACTAAAGTCACTCACTTACTCGTCCGAACCATGGGAAGGACAGGAATTAGTAAAGGTTTACCTGAACGGGAACTTCGAGATCTAGATGTTACAATACTGTTAGAGACAAGATATTGCTTTTTACATCATGCACACTGTGAAAGGTGAAGCTGAACATTTTCCACTTCGTTCTAGAAATTATTACCTTTTCAAATTCGTCACCGCCTTCTCCAAACAAAGGTGATATTGCCTTGTAGTTTATTGAACCATAACGATGGGCATAATGATGCAGGACATACATCCTATAGTTTCACTGCGTGGATCAATACCCTGGGAACTTTATAATGAAATAATCAATCAAAACGAGCCCTAAATTTCTTTTAGACATTTTATTCATCCACCCTTGTTACAAAACTTTGACCTTCATGCCAGGGGAAGATCATTGACATAGAGGAAATCTTTTAGCATAACATTTGATGTAATCAGTACGTTACAGTTTACTTAGGAGGGATTTTAGTACAAATGATACACACACACGCACGCACGCACACACGCACGCACGCGCGCGCGCACACACACACAAAGCCCCTTTAATATCTGACATAAATATCAGATTATGTTTTTTGGTCTTAGACATGAGAAATACACAACAGAATAGGACATTTTACTATTGCTGCTCTTCTGAAGAAAAGATACAATATCCAAGACTGATGAAATTTATCAGCAGTAAAATTGCTTAAAGATATGTCTTTTTCTATTTTATATCTGACGAAAAGTTCCTTTGAAAATCTTTTAAACTGTGGTTTGCACTTCTGATGTTTACATTTGTATATGAAAAAATTGTTGATGAGACTAAAGAATATTTATCATTTGAAGAATTTAAAGAAAGGTACCACACTTCCACAATTTGTTTTGGGTTGTTATGGTATTGTTAACAGTATTAAAAGATATTTGAAGTTTCTTACTTTAGATAGAGGTCAATCTGACACTGTTTTAGATTATAGATGTACCCTGCAGAAGTTGCATAGTCAGAAATCAGGGGCAAAGCATATATATTCTGTACTGATATTCTGTGATTTAAAGACTAAAGGCCAGTTAAGTGGGAAGCATAGTTTAATAATCTTAATTGGAACAGTCTCTACTCTGAAATGATTGGAACAACACAAGAAGTTAAACTTCGTTGGTTTCAATATAGAATCAAACATATAATTCTTACAACCAATACTGACTTATTTAAACTGAAGTACACAGAGAATGATTTATGTACATTTTGCCAAACTGATAGTGAAACAATTACCCACTTGTTGTGGGATTGTAAGTTTATCCAGTTATTTTGGATTCTACCATGGCTACGTGAAATACTCGAATTTGATTGGTCAAGCCATAAAATCAGACGGTATCAATTTGGATTGAAAATGCGTCTGATTTCACGGCGCTTCACTGCGCACGTATACAACACTGCCGCACTACTTCAGCTTGGCCACCAACATGACTAATGTCAACACAACAGACGTGACGGAATTGCTGATGAAACATTTATTAAAACTCGAAAAATACAATTATACGATTTCTCCTCCACAATTATTAGGGGACCTCACTATCATAATTATTACCTTCCATGATAAAAATATTCAAATTCAATTACAATACACAGCCCCAAACATAAACAAACAAATATCTAACATATAAATCAGAAAACCTTGTAAAACTACATCCCTATCTATCCCTATTTGTGCGGCAAAACGTTCGTAAACATTTACCTACCTGGTAAATGGTATGTTTGTTTCCGTTTAGAATGGGAAATTCGCAAGATAAGGGTCAGGCGAAACACAAAATTTGCCACTCATACTCCATCATGTCCCGTTGCATCGTTCAAAATGTCAAAAACTTAACCATGAGAATTCAGTTCTCTGCCACCTTCCCCGAAGGCTGTCACTGCTATGTTCGTACACTTTGAAAAGCTTAGCCTCAATCCAGTCCCAAATGATGAGAACAATCTTCCAAGGAATCCCAAGTTAGTCACTTGTACACAAAGCTGCACTGTCACTCTTCCTCGCATGCCGGAGTGGAGGCACGCATGTGAAATCATGATCGACACTCGCCGGTCATAAAAATCAACAGTCTTTGATGAGTTACAGGTTATAGGTCGATCAGAAAAGGATCTATTCTTCGATTCTGCAGGGTTCAGGTTCGACAGTCAGTCAAGTATTTTCCACTGTCACTTCGAATTTCAACCTTTCGCAAAATGTAAACACTGGCTCGTCTGCACTTTCAAACTGTTGCGTAACTGTCTACTTCCAAGAAAATACGTAGGTCAGACGATTCCATTATACTGTGGCCAGGGGGGTACAGTAATACGGCACACAAAACAATAGGCTGGTTTCGGTCTTGTGGAGTTATGATTATAAAAACCAAGCTCTTAGGTGTTACATTATTGCATTGAATAAACAGGAGTTTGTTTTCTTTGGACAGAATATATTTTATGTTGCAATGTTAAAAAAATATGAACTGAACCTACCACTCCTTTATCAGACGAGTTCAATTCGCCTCTCATCCCATGCCGGATTACGCAGTGTCTTCCGCAGGACGAGGAAGTTCGATGTTAAATCGGTTATGGTAGAATGGAGATAAACATACTGTGTTTGGAAATTAGATGAATGTTAGACCGAGTTGATAGTCTCTAAATTAATCATTTGAAACCTCACGCTACGCGTTCGGCTTCAAATAAAATTTAGAGACTATCAATTCGGTCTAACATTCATCTAATTTCCAAACACACTACGTTTATCTCCTAACTGAATTACGTCTCTGTCTTTGAAGGTGTCTTTAACGGATCTTCAGCGCACCATGTTTTAACAGCTAAAGATTGGGCGCAGGGAATTGATACTCAGAGAATGGAAGCCTGGTATTTACAATCACGAGAGAATGGAAGCCAGGTTTTTACAATCACGAGACAATGGAAGCCGGGTACTTACAATCACGAGAGAATGGAAGCCGGGTATTTACCCAAACGGGGACGGTGGGGTAGCCTAGTGGTTAAAGCGTCCACACGTCACGCAGAAGACCCGGGTTCGATTCCCCACATGGGCACTATGTGTGAAGCCAATTGGTGGTGTCCCCTGCCGTGATATTGCTGGAATATTTCTTAAAGTGGCGTAAAACCATTTGATCACTCACTCATCTCCGAATGGACGTGGGGTAGTTATTATCACAAAATAGAAGCCGGATAGTTATTATCACAGAATGGACGTCGGATAGTTATTATCACAGTTATATATTTGGATAGTTATACCAATATATAATCACGGAATTAGCGCTTATACAAAATAAAAACAACAAAAACATATTAACCAAAAACAAAAACCAAACCCAACATTAAGGTAACATACATGAGTAATGTTGAAGAGAAGGATCCCCCTTGGCCTTAGACTCAGGTGTCTTTCCTGTTGATGGTAAATATACTTAATTACTGGCTGATTGAAATACATTAAAGCCGAATAAAGCCAGACTCACTGACTTGGTAGAACATGTCATCGTATCCCAATTGCGTAGATTGATGCTCACAATGTTAATGGCTGGAATGTCCACACTCGATTATTTACAGACCGCCGCCGTATGGCTATGATATAACAACAAACAATCGCCACCGAGTTATGTCCCTTGGTATGTACATGTACAAGCTCAAGCAAAACATGCGCCACCTCCTTTACCCTGCTGGGATCACCGCTGTCACCTGTGAGGAGCTTGGTACATGTACATACATACTTCCGGTAGTAGGAGCCACACGGTACTTCATGTCTACATGGCTTTGTTCTTCTTCACCGCCTTCGTGAAGGATTCTACCACTTTCTTCAGTTTGGCCGCCTTCAGAGCAGATGTTAATTCCCCTACAGCCTCGTCTGTTGAGGTCTGTTTCTTCGTCCATTCCTTCAGGAGTTTGAAGACAGCCGCCCTTTGGCTTTGGCTGCCTTGGCTGATAGCATCAAAGTCGTCTGACATGCCCAGGTGGGCTGACAGGCTCATGCCGTCGTCGGCCTGTTTGATCATCTCCGACATGTTGAAGAGACTGCCTTCATTCAGAGCTGAAACAAGGTGACGGTGATTGTGTGAGTGAGTAAGTAGGGTTTAACGCCCTAACAGTATACAAGTTATATCACGGCTTGTCAGCTAGATTTGGGAGGAACGCGACTGTGATGTGTGTAACGACTAGAGGGTTTTCTGATTATGATCAAACTGGAAGAAACTAGTATTGCACTGCTTGTATTGATACATTGTATCATCTGGACCAATGGTTTTACATACTCTGATCCTAGTCTGAGTCCCTTCTCCAAGACAGGGCACTGATACAGGCACTGATATAGGAGACAGCTTTTTGAGAAAGCTGGGGTGCACAGTTTGTTTTCACCCATTCTCACGAGAGTTTAAATGGGTTCAGTTACCTTGGGGTCTGCATCAGTTAAACAGAATATGGGTGGATATGGAGGGTAACGAATTAACGCAACCCTCCCCCACCTTCGACAGACCGTATTTAATGTGTATGTTCTAACTTAGGAAACTAATATTAGTTTCGCCTGAGGAGTTGAGTCGATATTGTCTGACTCCGGAATCAACATTGAAGTAATAGCTCAACAATGATGTCGAGTTTTACCAGACAAACAAATGGTTGACAGCAAGGCCAACAATCTACCCTTCATTAAGTGAGCCATCTTCCAATCTATTCTCAATGCCGTTTCAGTTCCAATATGACCAACCTACCTGGACACAGAGGAGCCTGTGACATCAGAGTGGCTGCAGACCCGATCGAAATATTAGAATTTTGACGCACCAACTCATGTGGTTGGTTTCCATGGTAACCGGAAATTGCAGACGCAGCGTCATTGCCGATGGATGAGTTGGAAGCATGTCCACTGAAGCCAGACATCATGGAGAGTTCATCCCCACCAGAGGCGAGTCTCTTCTGCCTTGGATGCCGTTCATGGTCAGTCCGGTACATTTTATCAAAGCCCACCACAGTGTCCATCTGAACAGAGTGAACACATTGTCGGCGAGGTCCCTTGTCGCAGTAGAAGTTGATGATGCCGATGCTGGTGTGGATTTCGCCTTTTTTCTCCACCGTAAACATTTTGTGATTGTCTTCAGCTACATCCAGATAAGTCAGAAGATAGTAGCTTTTCGGTACATCACGAAGCCCTTTCAGATTGCCGACGATATCAATACGCATTCGGTACCCGTCGAACACCTTGATGTCCTGGGACCGGCTGTTCTCGAGCTCCACAAGCTTCTCCACCTGGGTTCGTTTCTCCACAACCCTATCGACGTTGATCTTGTCCACGATCTCCACCCACAGCTTGGGGAACCCAGTCGGCATGACCTTCCTCTCACGAAATATAAGAATTTTGGCGATGTAGTTCTTCCCAAACAAGAGCCGAATCTCTGACTCAACCGCTTTAGGGTCACCAAGGGCATCGTTTTTCACGTAACTTGCAATATATCTGAAAGTACGTATTGAAAACTCAATGACAGGGAATAACTTCATGACAGTCGCACGTGAAATGCATATTTATAGTCCAAATATACACAGACAGGAATAGGTGCAATAAATGAGCACTACTTAAGGTATTACCTGGTCATTCAGTGCGACCCAAACATCTGTAACATGTTTTATTTGTGATTACTCTTTCCCAGTAAGTTGTTGTGTTGAGTCCGGGATTCGAACCCACACCCTCAGAGTCAGGCACCTAATCGCCAGCACACAAAGTCAGCCGTCTAACCCACGCAGTCAGCGCGGCTTCCACGGCTAACTGGTGGGCGGATAAATACAAATGTCCAGTTATATCCATGCATACCATATTGATGTGGAAGTATTTAGGTATATCGATGCATATCAGTTTATATTGAAAGTATTTCAGTAATATCCCTGCATATCAGTTTAAGTTGAAATTATTTCATTTATATCCCGGCATATCAGTTTAAATTGAAAGTAATTCAGTTCTATCCCGGCATATCAGTTTGCACTGAGAGTATTTCAGTTATATCCCGGCATATCAGTTTGCACTGAAAGTATTTCAGTTATATCCCGGCATATCAGTTTGCACTGAGAGTATTTCAGTTATATCCCGAAATATCAGTTTGCCCTGAGAGTATTTCAGTTATATTCCTGCATATCAGTTTGCACTGAGAGTATTTCAGTTATATCCCGGCATATCAGTTTGCACTGAGAGTATTTCAGTTCTCTCCCGGCATATCAGTTTGCACTGAGAGTATTTCAGTTATTTCCCGGTATGCTTCAGTTTGATCATGGCGTCAGCTTGATGTGGGAAGCCAGTCCAAGTGGTGCAGGCATGAAATATTACTTTGGAGAAACCAACGAACTTGGGGATGGTTCCTACTAACATAGAACCATACTGACGAACCATGATACAGAGATCAGTGGCTTCAGTGATATTCCTGGCCTGTGAACACACATCATGGATATTCCTCTCCATGTTCTGTATTTTCGTATTCTTCATAAATATCATAACTTTTATTTCATGCAATTTTATACTACTCACAGTTACGTTTTCCGTTTGTATATTACTGTACACTCATTTCCACCCACCATTGTATAAATAGGTATGTCCTTTCTACACCTGACAATGACTTACCCACTGAAGGCCGACACTTGCAGGTTACACACGTTGCCTTCATTCATCGCGATCTCCGTACTTCTGTCCATCATCGTAATCTCATTGCCAACCATCCGGAACATAACGAGTGTGACGTCATCATCCACAGGTTTGTTGTCAAATGGGAGTTTGACAGTCACCGGTTTCTTGAAGATGACGGCCTTGGAGCTCTCCCCATACATGCACTCGGTGACCCCTACCACCGATTTACATACTGGGTCCTCACCGGTCAGGTACTTTTCCATGGCTGTCGCGTCTGGGGGGATGATCTGGGGAGACAGAACCCGCCTTAAAGTTTGTGTTACAGTGAGTTACTGCCACTGCTGCTGCAACGGGTGCAACGACCGTCTGATATACTGAAGGCCAGCCACAAGTACACAGTTGCTGCTGCTGCTACAACTACAGCTACTACTTCTACTACTACTACTACTACTATAACTTCTTCTACCACCGCTGCTACTGTTACTACTACTGTTTCTGATTGACAATAACTACTGCTAATATTACCCCAACCTAACCACCCCCACCTAACCACCACCACCACCACCAATCAACCAACAATGATGCAATAATGATTCAACAATGAACCAACAACGATGCAATAATGATTCAACAAGGATTCAACAATAAGCCAACAATGATTCAACAGGAACCAACAATGATGCATCAATGCTACAATAATGATTCAGCAATGAACAAACAGTGATGCAATAATGATTCAACGATAAACCAGCAATGATGCAATAATGATTCAACAATGAACCAACAACGATGCAATAATGATTCAACAGTGAATAACAATGATGCAATAATGATTCAACAATGAACCAGCAATGATGCAATAATGATTCAACAACATACCTGGAAATCTAAGTCTTCATCAGCGTCTACCGCGCCAGCTGGAATTTCGACCTCCATCTTAGAAGATTCATCGACCTTGACCGTCATGCCCTCTGGGGGGACCTTGACCTTCTTCGTCACCACGTCGCCCACAATCACGAAGTCCTGAACTTCAGAGGTTCTAAACTCAGCACAGCCTTTCTGTGAAAAAAACAAAACAGAACATTATCTCCGGGTTTAATTTCGCCTCCTGACCGATTGTTTGACAACTACAACTGCCCTTTTCCTGTTTCCGTCCAACGTACATCTCATGCACAGTGTGCACAGTGTCCATGAGGTGTACGCCGGACGAAAATAGGAAATGCACAGGTGTATTAATTATATGGGTGTTTTCAGAATGTTAAAATATTCCTTCAGGAAAACCCAATGTTAAACCCAGGTTATACTTGAGGATGGAATCCTTCGCAACGGTTGGCAGGAGACAAATAAAAAATAAACACCTCGTGAAACTGTATCAGTAAACTATGCAGCTGTGATAGAGATCACGAAACACTGTGCAGCTGTGATACTGCCCTAGTTTCAAAGCACACTATCATTTATAGCATGTTTCACCAATTTTAGTTTTGCCTGACATTGGCAAAGCGTCAACAATGGCAGTGGAGGAGTTTCCGTGACCTGGCTGCGTGTAGTGTGAGTGGTACTTGTTGTTGCCTTGTCTGACGCTAGAGGATAACACAAGGACTGGGCGGCTAAGTGTCAGTACACATTGTCTAAGTGGGGTAAACTGTGGCCTGGTTTCATAGTGGGTTAGCGTCTTTAAACAGGCCACTACCCGTACCAGGACCCACTCACATATATGGATATGGGAAATACAACGCGACATGAAAGGTGACGTTATCATTTCACCCTTTCTGACAATTCTGTTTCCACTAGAATCTTGACGTATACGTGTACGGGTCACTCTTTCTATCACTCACTCACTCGCTCTTTCCCTACCTTCTTGGAGAAGGTTATTAAGAGCAATACCAACCTTAAATGTTGCTTCTTCGTTGTTCCATGCCCCATTCTTGTGCATCTTGACCTTGACCTTGTGTCTTTTAGAAATATCCTTGCCGAGTTTAACAACAACCGTGACAGTGTCAGTCAAGGTCAGATTCGGCCCCGTCACGTGATAGATGTCGCTGGCGATAAACTCATTCTTCTCCGTCAGTATCTCATCTATCTGCTTGTTTCTCTCATCCATTGTCCATGTTTCGATCTTGCACTCATTTATGGCGAGGGCGTCGTCTTTGTTCACGAAGCTTAATTTTAGGCCAAGACCTTTTAGCTCCTTTTGCTTCCAACTGTTGTCGACCTTGACCTTGACCTTTTTCGGTTTCCTTGTTTCTTCCTCGCTGCTGGAATCCGACTCTTCCTCCGATTCTTCCTCATTGAGCCTGTCGACAGTAAACGGTTGTGTACAGAAGGAATTCACCCAATACATCATACACTGAAGGAAACAAATCTCGGACGTGCTATATTACGCTGTAACAAAGCCTTGATAACAGAGTTGTCTGAAAAACAGTAATAGGAATCTCATCCTTCACACAGTACGGTGCGAAACTAAGCGCCGCAGCATGAACCCAGTCAGTGCTGTATGGATCCAGGCCTGTACTATTCCAGGACTTAAAGAACAGCATATAGAGGGAGAAAGTTTGGCTTACTGGTTTTTAAACTAAAATCAGATTGTTGACTTGAAACTCAAAACAGCCAACACACGTGTTGATGAAAACAAATAAAGGTGTACTACCACAGAAAGCAAATGCGTGTTTTGAAGGAAAGGTATCTTGTCAAAGCAAGGAAATCATATGCGACATCAGGAGACTTCGCTGCTGAAAGGACAGTCAACTATCCAATTTCGACTACGCCATACGGATAGCGATGATACCGGGTGTTCGAGATTGGGTCAGGGTATCCTCGTCCACCCGTCACACAAGTTTCAGTGACAAGAACACGGTTCACCTGAAACCAGACAGACAGACAGGCAGATATACAGACAGACAGGTGGATACACAGACAGACAGACAGGCGGATATACAGATAGACAGGCGGATATACAGACAGACAGACAGGCGGATATACAGACAGACAGACAGACAGACAGGCGGATACACAGACAGACAGACAGGCGGATATACAGACAGACAGGCGGATACACAGACTGACAGACAGGCGGATACACAGACAGACAAACAGGCGGATATACAGACAGACAGACAGACGGACAGGCGGATACACAGACAGACAGACAGGCAGATATACAGACAGACAGACAGGCGGATACACAGACAGACAGACAGACGGATACACAGACAGACAGGTGGATACACAGACAGACAGATAGACAGGCGGATACACAGATAGACAGGCGGATACAAAGACAGACAGTCAGGCGGATACACAGACAGACAGACAGGCGGATACACAGACAGACAGGCAGATATACAGACAGACAGTGAGGCTGATACACAGACAGACAGACAGACAGGCGGATACACAGACAGACAGACAGGCGGAGATACAGGCAGACAGACAGGCGGATATACAGACAGACAGGCGGATACACAGACAGACAGACAGACAGACAGGCGGAGATACAGACAGACAGACAGGCGGATATACAGACAGACAGACGGATACACAGACAGACAGACAGGCGGATATACAGACAGACAGGCGGATACACAGACAGACAGACAGGCGGAGATACAGACAGACAGACAGGCGGATACACAGACAGACAGACAGGCGGATACACAGACAGACAGGCGGATACACAGACAGACAGACAGGCGGAGATACAGACAGACAGACAGGCGGATACACAGACGGACAGGCGGATACACAGACAGACAGACAGGCGGAGATACAGACAGACAGACAGACAGGCGGATACACAGACAGACAGGCGGATACACAGACAGACAGGCGGAGATACAGACAGACAGACAGGCGGATACACAGACGGACAGGCAGATACACAGACAGACAGACAGGCGGAGATACAGACTGACAGACAGGCGGATATACAGACAGACAGGCGGATACACAGACAGACAGACAGGCGGATATACAGACAGACAGACAGGAGGAGATACAGACAGACAGACAGACGGATACACAGACAGACAGGCGGATACACAGACAGACAGACAGGAGGAGATACAGACAGACAGATAGGCGGATACACAGACAGACAGACAGGCGGATACACATACGGACAGGCAGGATACACAGACAGACAGACAGGCGGAGATACAGACAGACAGACAGGCGGATACACAGACGGACAGGCGGATACACAGACAGACAGACAGGCGGAGACACAGACAGACAGACAGGCGGATATACAGACAGACAGGCGGATACACAGACAGACAGACAGGCGAAGATACAGACAGACAGGCGGATACACAGACAGACAGACAGGTGGATACACAGACAGACAGGCGGAGATACAGACAGACAGACAGACAGGCGGATACACAGACAGACAGACAGACAGACAGGCGGAGATACAGACAGACAGACAGACAGGCGGATACACAGACGGACAGGCAGACAGGCGGAGATACAGACAGACAGACAGGTGGATACACAGACAGACAGACAGACAGGCGGAGATACAGACAGACAGACAGACAGACAGGCGGATACACAGACGGACAGGCAGACAGGCGGAGATACAGACAGACAGACAGGTGGATACACAGACAGACAGACAGACAGGCGGAGATACAGACAGACAGACAGGCGGAGATACAGACAGACAGACAGACAGGCGGATACACAGACGGACAGGCAGACAGGCGGAGATACAGACAGACAGACAGGCGGATACACAGACAGACAGACAGACAGGCGGAGATACAGACAGACAGACAGGTGGATACACAGACAGACAGGCGGATACACAGACAGACAGACAGACAGGCGGAGATACAGACAGACAGACAGACAGACAGACAGGCGGATACACAGACAGACAGACAGATACAAAGACAGACAGGCAGATAGACAAACTTGTGTACTTGGTGGTGGTAATACAGTTGGGTTCCATGAATTGAGTATAGCAATAAGCTGAATTTCTAGAAGAACATATGCAGTTACACTTGGTTAGTGCAATAACCTATCTGCCGACGTAGGTACGTACAACACGTACTCACACTAACTTACCCAATGTTTTTTTTCTTTATTGATGTTACACACAAGAATACTCTTCTAAGCGGCGTTATATCAAACACACTCATTATAAAGGTATGATACAGGGATTAGGCAACACACACACACACACACACACACACACACATATATATATATATATATATATATATAAACAAGTGATTTTTGCAGGTGTATAAGCAATAAATATATAAAATATGAGTCCAGATATTTCTTCTTGTCAAATCTCCTTTATATCTGCACAAGATCTTTCGCCGTTCAACGGCCTCTTCAGGTGTTTCGAAAACGAAAATCATATAACCTAATCTATTTATAATTGTTCTAATTGTGATGCGTATAAAATATTGTCCAGAAACCATCCATATATATCTAACCAGGCCTAACCTGTTGTGAGTGAGTGAGTATGGTTTTACGCCTCATTTAGCAATATTCCAGCAATATCATTGCGGGGACACCAGAAATGGGCTTCATACATTGTACCCTTGTGGGGAATCGAACCTGGGTCTTCAGCATAACGAGCGGACGCTTTAACCATTAGGCTACCCCACCGCCCGTTAACTTACCAAAAAACAAGTGAATGTCTGGATGTATCAATGTCACAACACTGATTGTGGACAAGTGAATTGTATCAATGATGTCGGGACCAATGGAAGACATTTGATTACAATTCCAGTGTCCCACACGTCGACAAGGCTGACACATTACTTGTTCCCCGAAGAATGACAATAGAAAACTGAGACATGTCTTGAAACAGGAATCACGTGTTCTGCTGGGAAATGATGGTGTGGCAGCAGAATACATATGTTGTCCTGACCTAAAGTGTGAAACGTATCCAGAGCTTTTTACTGGAGCATTGCTATATACGTGTGTTAGAAAGAACGTTATAAACATCGACGGAATGATTTAATTAACAATATTTTATCATGAATGTATTCTGTAACATATGTTATATTTGGGATTACGCTTTCTTAGTAAAGTACAGATTCTAGTACTTTTGTTTGGTTGAGTCCCATCCGGGATTCGAACCGTAGTCTAGACTACCAGTTGTCCGACTTCCATTTTGTGGAAGTCGCCGAGGCTGAGCGGGGTATGCGGCTGACTTTGTGTGCTGGCGATTTGGTGCCAGACTCTGATGGTGTGGGTTCGCATCCTGGATGGGACTCAACCACTTTCTAAATGGCATAAAATGTTTTGAAGGTTATTTGTTCATATCATTTGATACATATTTGATTGCCTATTTTGTTATCCAAACCGAATTTGAAAAGCTCAGTATAGTTCTGGTTTATTCTGGAGAAACTGTTCTATAATGTAAACAAACACAAATGCATGACGAGGGTGGCTGAACAGTCCAGATCCAACCTGAAGCAGTTACTGTGCGGGCACCAAAGTCACTAGGTATTCTGTTTAGGTGAAAATAGATAGGTTTGGATAACGCACTGTCAGCAACTGGCCTTGGACTCATATTCGACCGCCACCTGACATTCTTACCACACATAAAATATTTGAAAACAAAGTGCTTGAAGGCTCTAGACTTGCTAAAAGTAGTTTCAAATACAGAGTGGGGAGGGGATCAGACCACCCTCCTTCACTTGTACAGATCATTAGTTCGCAGTAAACTAGATTATGGCTCCATTGTCTACGGTGGAGCCTGCAAAAGCAATTTAGAAAAATTAGACTCTATCCACCACCAAGGACTGAGGCTCTGCCTGGGAGCTTTTAGGACCTCTCCGGTAGACAGTCTATATGCAGAGGCCAATGAACCTTCCCTTGAACAACGCCGCATTAAACTCTCACTGCAGTATATCACTAAATTACGTTCAAATGAGTCCAGTCCAGCATACAATTGTGTTTTCAACCCTCTCTATGAAAACTTATTTCCTAAACTGCCAAGCCTGGTTCCACCACTTGGAATCAGGATCAAACCACACATAACTGCAGCTAAAATTGATCTCGACATCATTGCACCATACCGACTTCTATCCTCACCACCATGGCAAATGGTGAAACCACAGGTCGATCTTACCCTCACCAAACTCAAAAAGTCGGAAACAAATCCCCTGGTGTTCCAACAGGAATACAACCAGTTACGTTCTAAGTATAACACTCACAGATCCATTTTCACAGACGGATCCAAGGACGATGGCCAAGTTGCCAGCGCTACAGTCATTGGAGCCAAGACTGTTTCCTCTAGGATCCCCGACAACAGTTCCATTTT